ATTGTTTTTTCTCAATATGAAAAATCATGTGATATGACGTCATTTCGACTATTTCGCGACTTTAGCCTTCAATGGTCAAAATGATTTCAACCATTTCGACCATTTCGGATATCCGAAATGATTCATTTCGACTTCATGTATAGTTATTATTATTAACAGTTTAAATGTAATTTTCCAATCTGAAAAAAATTTATAAGTAATTTCTTGATTATTTTACCAATATGAGAATATTTAATTTATTGTAATACTAATAATAATTTACATAAAGTGAAATCTAATTACAAATAATGCTAATATATCTGTGTTATGTTTTACTTATGTAATAATTGTAATAATTGATGTTACAATAAAATTAATCTTTAAAAATTCAAGAAGTTAATTCTGATTTCATTTAACTGTTTTTCTAATCATGGATTTATCCATAATATTTATCTAGTGAAAAAAACAATTTTCTAAACTTTTACTTTAAAGTATATAAAATAATTAATTATTATCAATTATATATCTAGTAATATTTTGCCAAATTTTTTTATATTTTGCTTTACTTTTAGACTTATATTTTTAATTGCTATTCATATATTAGATTGAGACTATACTTTTTTAAATGATTTGCCTATATGCAAAATAAATACTATATATAATTAAGAATTTAAAAAATAATAAAAAAAAAATGATAATTATAAAAAAATTACTTCTTCTACATTTATATATTTTATACTTTATCATTAAATGGTAAATAAAGTTTAAAGTTATTGATCTGTTGATCACATTCTGTTTTATCTTTCTTAATTACATGACAAGTTACTAAACTTGAGTTGTCTTTCTTCTTAAAATAGTTTTATACAAAACTAGTTAGCTCTTTGATAACCTTTTTTATTTTTTATTTATTATATTTATTTTTATTATAGAATTTTTAGAAGACTTAATTTTATTAACTTAATATTATTACTATTTATTTTATTGATTACAGCCCTAATTTGATGCTTAGTTAATCAATTTGTAAAGTATGAATCTATTAAATCAACTTAATTTAATTTAAATCAATATAAATGCAGATAAGATTGAAATGTCAATTTAATTTAATCCAATTGAATTTGAGAAAACATCTAATATAAGTTTTATATTGATTTACCAATCAATCATAGATATTAGATGATTAGATTATTAATTATCTATGTATATTATTTGAATAATTGAATAAATAATATTCAAATATATTTATACATAATTTCACAAATATTCGAATAATGATGATGCTTATTTAAATATTCAAGTATATTTAAATTATTCTAATAAAACTTTTATGATTACAAATACTATTATTATTTATAAAAAATATATATATTATTTATAATTAATTATATAATAATATAAATTCTATTGATAAGCTTATATTATTAATTAATCTAAAAAATAATATTTTAAATACAATAAATTTAATAAAAAATATTAATATCTAAATAATATAATATCTTTAATATAATAATGGAGTTTAATTTTTACTAATAATTATTAATTAAATTTGATTTAATAAAATTTTAATTTTTATTGCAATAAGAATTAAATTTTAATAGAATCACAATTTTTCTAACAAATCTCCTATATATTTAAAGTATTATTATTTTTTAAAATTATATATATTTTTTTTATTATAAGATATACAATATCATATTTTTTTCTTCTTTTTACTTAACTTTTTAAGAATGATATAGTTTTGAATATATCTAAATTAAGATAAATATAATTAATATTGGTTTATTTTAATAAATTAACCTATTTTATATAAATTTTAAACTTGTTATGTTTAAAAATCAGTTATTTAGGATTCTTAAATTTTATAAAACATGCACTTAATTATTGGTGATTTAGATAGTTATGTTATAATGATTTGGATGAAGAAATGCTTTATCAATAATACAAATTGAATTTAATTACAATGTATAACTATCAAACACTTAATGGACCCATCCTTTAATATGACCATCTTTCATTTGAGGTTCTAAAAAACCGCGAAACATTACTCTTTGTTTATTATCATTCGTGTTAGATGAAGGAGTATCCAGCTGAGGTTGTTGAGAAGATAGTTGTTGTGTATTAGGACCTTGAATTTCCCAACGAGCCCCGTAACCTTCTGAATTACGAATCTCAAAGACGCGTGTATCATGCTTATAAAAAAAAAAATTTGATCTATATATAATTTTTATGAAATTTGAAAAAAAAAAAATAATAATTTTAATTACAACATACCACCATTGAATGTAAATTTATCCATGCAACATCAGTTAAAATTTTTGCTAAAACTCGATTAGCTTGTTCATTTTTCTGATTTTCAGCTAAAAATAAAATAAAATTTGATTAAAAAAAATCCATTCAACACTTTCTCAAATTCCTTTAACTTACTTCCACTACAATTTCCCCAAAAGGAATTTGAAACATCTCTATGAAAATGTTTAGAAAGAGCTTTAGCACCTACGGTAAGAGAAATTTTAATAACCAAACCTTCCCTTAAAGTTTTAGCATTTCTCTTAACGTAATGTGTAGTAAAAGAATTTAGACATTCGTTTAAAGAAGGAGGTAATTGAGTAGAAGATCCTATCGTTGTACGTAATCCTAAAAAGGTATTTAAATCCTTTGGATTTAAAAATGTAAATAGAAATTCTTGAAGTATTTTTTTATGTAATTCGTTAAACTGTGAAGAGCTAATTGGAGGTAATTTTGCACGTTTCATTTCATTTTCGATTTGTTCCAATCTAGTCTTTTCGATTAATCAACGATTAATTTTCGATTAACCTTTTTAAAAGTTTTGATACTGTAGTTAAAAAAGCTTTACCTTGATAAATTTTTATTTTCCAACATGAATAATCGACTTGTTTTTAAATGTGTCGGAAATCCATCATTTTCGAAACATTTACCAAGCATTTCAACGAATGCTAAATAAAATGGTCTCTCAAGAATTCCCTTGCAAAACCTTGAATTATTTTGTTTATTATTTACGTTTAAAATGGTTATACAATCCAATAAGTGCAACGTAATCTCGTCGAATCTTTCCTCGGTCTAGGAAAATTAAAATCAAGTAAAATAAAAAACGAATAAAAAGTTCATTACTCTAAACTGATATTTGAATTTACTTGATCTTTTTCTTGTAATAATTCTTTACATAATGATGCCCATGATAGTGGATCATTTGAATCCTCTTGCGCTTTCTCAACCAGTATTTCTTTTATTATATCAGAAAAATTCATCTAAACAAAACTGAAAATTATTCAATTCTTTGAGCGCGATTCGATTATTCATGCTTTCCTTATGTGATAGTTGAGAGATATCACATGTATAACAGATTTTTTTTTAATTAATCATAAATTAACTGGGCTACAAAAACTTATCAAAAAATGATATAAAATAGTTATATGAATTTTTATTGAAGCATTTATTTATTAACCGAATCTAATTTGCCAAAGAAATTTTCGTGTCATCACAACTATATCACTTTAGATTTTTAATAATTTAATATATATGTACATATATATATATTTTTTTTAATTACAAATTGAATAAATTTTATCCATTATAAGTTCCATGTGAATTTCCATTTTGACCATTACGTACTCTCCTCGCACGAACACCTTCACGTAACGTATCCAAGACTTGAATTGTGGTTTCCCAACTAATACATCCATCTGTAATAGATTGTCCGTAAGCAAGATTAAAAGGACCTTCTACTGGAAGATTTTGACGTCCTACCAAAGTATTTCGATCGAAAAAAGAATTAAAAAGATTTATTTGAAAATTTATCCAAGTTATCTTCATTTACCTTCTTTCAAATGACTTTCTATCATTACACCAAGAATATGCTGCCCCGTTGGTGATGATTTTAATTGTTCAGCCTTTTAAAATAAGAAATCGTTAGATCATATCTTTTAAATATTAAGGTTTCGAATGGAGCTTACAATATCTTTAGCCACTTCAACTTGTTTACTGAATAATTTTTGACTGTTACCATGACTGCAATCAATCATTATGCGAGCAGGTAATTTTGCTGCCTCTAATTTTTGAGCAACTTCTTGAACGTTCTCAGCTGAATAATTTGGCCCTTTGGCGCCACCCCTTAGGATAACGTGGCAGCAATCATTACCCTAATATTCAAATCATTACATTTTAATTAAACAAATATAAAAGATTATCATTCATAAGTTTAAGATAATTACATCTGTTGCTACAATTGCACTTAATCCTTGTTTGGTAACCGATAAAAAGTGATGACCGCTGCCGGCAGCTTTTATGGCATCGACAGCGATTCCTATATTTCCATCAGTTCCTACAGGGGAGATTTAAAAATGTATTTTGAAAAATTTTCCTTTTTTTTTTTTAAAAAAAATTTTTTTATAATGAATTAGTTAATATACCATTCTTGAAACCAACCGGGACAGATAACCCGGAGGCAAGTTCACGATGAACTTGAGATTCTGTTGTTCTAGCACCAATTGCTCCTTGAGGAAAATTTTACTTTAATATCAAGTAAAAGAACAAAACATTCGAATTTGATCAACCGACTCACCCCAAGAAACCAAATCTGCTAAATATTGAGGGGTAATTGTGTCGAGAAACTCGCATCCACATGGAACACCCATTTGATTCTAATTTATTGCAAAAGGTTAATAAAAATATCAATCACATGATATTTTAAAAATCAAATTGTGAGATCAACGCGTACGATTTCCAGCAATAGGTTGCGAGCAATACGTAATCCTTTATTAATTTGGAAGCTGTCAAAATTTTAAATCAACGTATAGTTTTAGTGTAAATTTTCAATTTACGTACTTGATATAAATTGTAAATTCTTGTACCTATTGTTTAAATGAGGATCATTGATCAATCCTTTCCAACCTACTGTGGTTCTTGGTTTTTCAAAATAAACTCGCATGATGATAAAAAGTTCATCATTTGCTTCAGAAGCATAAGATTTTAACCTTCCGGCTAATGTGTAAAAATGGTAAATATTAGTAGACTATTAACCTTCAATAAATGAAATAAGATAGATTTAATGTGGACCATATTCAATGGCAGCTTTGACATCGTGAACGGAACAAGGTCCAACGATTACAAGCATTCTATCGTCTTGCCCTTTTATAATCTTCTCGGCATTTGCACGACCAATTATAACACTTTGAGCTGCTTGTAATGTCAATGGAGAGTCCTCCATCAAAATTTGAGGAGGTATGAGAGGCTTAATTTGTTTAATACGTTTATCATCGAGCTCATTGAGAGCTAAAGGACAAAATAAAATTTTTATAAATTAGAGATAACATTTTTATTTTTAAGAAAGTTAAATTTCTTCACACACCATCACGAAAAATTAGATTATTTGGCATTTTTATTCTTTATATTCTTTTTTTTAAAAGTAAAACGAAAAAATTTTTGACGAAAAAAAAAAGTTAAAAGTGGCAGTGTCATCAGTTAAATATAAAATTTATCTATGAGATTATCAGTAATTTCGGTATGAACCAAAATCAGTCATAATGTGTGGCATAGATGTATCGCCGTTTTCTAAGAAAATTGAATTACCCTATTTTGGTTAGATCCTAACTTCGAATGGAGAAGTGTTATTTCAAATCGCATTGTTTTGAGTGTACTATGATCATTCTGAATTGCTTAGTATGATGGTATGTCTTAGCCAATTAGAATTTTGCTTTTTTTTTCCATAAAAATTTTCCGCCGAAATATTTTTCTTTTTCATTAGGGTCGCGTTTAGAACATTATCTTTTTTTTCAAAATGGTATTTATTATTTAAAATTATTATTAAAACTTATTGATTTACAATTATTACACGTTTAATAGTTTTTATATTTAATGCTCTGAAATTTGCTCTATATAAATTTGAACCGGAAAAACTTAACAGTTGCCACTTTCTTTGTTAAACACAGCCCAAGGGCATCCTATGGTATGTAATTTTTTTTAACTTAAATAATTAATTAAGCTAATAGTTCAATTTGGCGATTCATTTTTTATTTATTTATTAGTTGGTAGAATTAAAAAATGGAGAAACTTTTAATGGACATTTAGTAAATTGTGATAATTGGATGAATCTGACTTTACGGGAAGTTATACAAACTTCTCCGGTAAGAATATTTTGCTGTAATTCTTTGAAACAAACTCATACAATATATCAATTCAATTAATCGGCTTATTCGAATAGGAAGGAGATAGGTTTTGGCGATTACCCGAATGTTATATCAGAGGAAACACGGTAATAATCATTTACTTTTTTATTTAAATATGTTAACTTTCCGTATTAATATCTTTCTTTTATAAACATTAGATCAAATATTTACGTGTACCAGATGAGGTTTGTGATTGATTTAGAATTTTTTTTTTTTTTAGAAAACCATTTATTCTTTATTTATTATAGATTATAGAGATGGTAAAAGAAGATGCCATACGTCAAAGGCAAGCGGCAAGCGGTGGAAATCGAGGGCGTAAGTAATTCTTATCAATCGAATGCTGTCCTGTTATTATTCACTTTGATTGTTAAATTTTTCTTGCTGATGCATAATTTATTAACAGGTGGAAGTTCTCGTGGTGGCAATATTGGACGAGGTTCGCTTATAATTTTTTTTCTTTCTTTTCCTTCCTTTTGAAGCTAAATTAAAAATTACGTTTTATAGGAGGAAGCAGAGGCGGAAGCTCTAGTGGACGTGGAGGTAGTGGTGGCAGTGGCGGTGGCGGTGGTGGTGGAAGAGGAAAATCCAAGACCCGTTAATAGTTTCAATCGGTTCTTTAATGTTTTATAAGAAGTGTAATTTTCATAATAATTCATTCAGCATTATATACATACCACAAGAAACTTAAATTTATAATAATTAACATAGATATATACAAGACAAGATAAACGACACAACAAAAATTTGTTGGACAAAGAACCTTTAATTAAAAAATTTGTATTAATTCTAATAAAACTTGAAGAAAAAAAAGAATAACCTCCTCATATAATTTATATGTAATGTCGAAATTTTCGCAGTAAATCTGCCAAATTTTAATTGCTTTCCTTTGAAAATAAGACGTCAAATTTGATAAATATAATATAAAATTAAAATTACAACTATTGAGAGCCATGGTAAAGGGTTAAACAAAAATGAAGGAGGAAAATTCAATTCCACTAATTGTAAGAGAATCTCTTCTAGAGTACTAACGAAGGATTCTAAGGAAAATAGTTTTTGAACGTGTTTTCTTCCTTGCTCACCCATATCATCGCGATCAGATTTACTAACAATAAACGAAGCAATGGCCTCTGAAAATTCCATGGGAGTAGATGAACAAAGGAATCCGGTAACGCGATCCTTTACTGTTTCCTTTGGGCCACCGTTGTTAACTGCTATGACTGGTAAACGAGCATACATAGCTTCTACGGGCACAATTCCAAAATGTTCATTTGATGGAGTATATAAAAGACATAATGCTCTTGAAAGTAAATAAGTTCGTTGAGTATCATTAAAAGAACATAAGAAAAGAACTTGAGCGTTTTCTGGTGGTAATTCTGTTGAACCTGGCATTAATGTAAAAGTCATCAATCCTAATTGTAATGCCTTTTGGTCTAACTCTTTATGATAATCCACATTTTCTTGAACGCGATAATCATATCCACCAGCAATGACTAATCGTAAATTATTAAATTGATCGAATGATACTAAATTATCGTCGCGTAATTTGGCAAAAGCGTAAATAGCAAGCGCGATATTCTTTTTCTTCTCAAATCGGTTAATCGATAATATAAATTTTTTCGTCCTTAAAAATATGAAATAAGATAGTTATCATCTCTATAAAAAAAAAAAAAAGTAAAGTAAAAAATTTAAAAGATACCTTACGTCTCTAATATTTTAATGGACATATCTTCCAAATCTACTTTCTTATCATAAGAGTCGAAATATATTCCTGGATAAAGTACCCGTGGTACATGTTTTATACGAGGAAACGATTCTCGAAAGATATTTGCAGTGAAATTGCTATTAACAACTACGCAATCCGCCATACCTAATATTATAAGATATAATAATACATTATATATGTCTACCTTAAATATGCAAATTAAAATAAATTAGACTCACCAGTTGTCAGTTCCTCCATAAAATCAACGGGATACCTATAAATATTTTTCAGTATTGATTCCCTTTTTGTTAATAATTTATCTGGAAAATGGCAATAAAATAAAATCTAATTTTAAAATAATTTAAAAAGAACGGTGAAATAATATTTTTGGGTTAAATATAGAGAAAAATTAAAAGCAGCATACCTTTGCACCAGTTAACTTTAATAATGGTACACTTGCCGATAATTGATCCACAAATATAACATCAAATTTTGTTCTATCCCACAATATCATTGAAAGAGTTAAATGAATTTGTCTAAATATTGCACATATGATATAGAATGATCCAAAAAAAGTACGTGGTATAATATAATTTCCGCGTACTCGGACATCAAGTGTACCATCTCTAGTTTCCTTGAAACAATGTGTTGGGTCATGGTGAGAAGTGTATATAAATATCTTATGACCTTTCGTTTGTAAACCAGTAGCCGCGTCAACTACCAGCCGTTCTGCACCACCTATAGGTTTATTAACAATAAATAAAAAATCAAATATGAAATCAAAAACATTTACAGTGAAGCTTTTACCTATTCCAAGGTCTGGATGTACAAAAGCCACATTTAAGACGTGTGAAGAACTCATTGTGAAAAAAAAAATTTGACGCGAGGTAACACGTAGAATTTAAACAAACAGTTGTGTAACTTCAATATACGTTTGCAGATCTGGATAACCATTGACCGAAATCGATTTCACAAATTTAAAAACTTCTACAATGTCGCATAAGGTAAGATATATCTTTCTACTTTTTGTTTTAAATATTACTTTCTTACTTTTTTTCCCTTTCTTTCTTTCCCTTTCTTCCTTTCACATTCTTTCCTTCCCTTTCTCACTTCTTTCTTTACCCTCCATTGACATCAAACTTTATTTTTCAAATAGAATCCCACAAATCAAATTTACTTTCGCGTCAAACGCCATAAAACCACGATATTTTTACAAGCAAAGATAACTGATAAGATATTGACTTTAAAGAAAAATATTATAAAAATATTAGGAGATTCTGAAAAAAGAGATCCAAAAAAATTACAACTACTGATATCAACTGATGATTCTGAGTCACCAGTTTCTTATTCTATTTTGGATAAAGACGAAGATACAGTTAATCAGTTAGGACTAAAGGATGATCAGATTTTATTTTTATGCTTCTGGGATGATAACTTGGGTAAGTTTTATTTAAAGTCTTTGCTGAATTAATTGTGAAAAAATGAACTTGTTTTAATTAAATGAGTTTAAATAATATCAATATAAAAAGATCAATGGGAGAACGTTGCTGTGGAATATCCGGATCCTTATGATGAAGTTGTAGAGGAAGATGAACCGATGGAAGAAGATGATGATATAAATGAAAAGAATGATTTAGAAACTATATCATTAGAAGATGGAAAAGGAAAAGCCAGGGCTTAAAGAAGTGTCGGATGAAAATAATTCATGTTTCGATCGATTTTTCCTTGTAAAAGAATTTGTTATAATATAATTTATTGGAGAGATAATTATTTTTAATTCAAATTTATTATGGTACAAATTTTATTTTATTGATAAATTAAAGAGGAAAAATGTATTGAAATAATTTATTTTTAATAGAAATCATAATTTCCTTTTTTTTTCTTCTTGATTTATTAAATATAAAATATTAGAAATTGTTTTACAACGACGCGAATTATCGATCAGATTTTTATTTATGTGTGTGTTACGCAAGGTACAGGTTTTATGACCAATAAAACGTTAAAACCATTTTTCATTCCCCAAAAAAAAAAAATTATATATCATGGAAAAACTTTGACCTATAACGATATTAAGTGTCTCTTCCCGTTTCGAGTTCCATTTATTATTATGCCTTCAGCAATGGATTCTAAACCAGTTATTATCGGTCTAAGGATAGGTCAAAGTTATTCTAGCATTGCGATTATTAATAAGGTAATACTTTTATTTAAATAAAAAAGATTGAATTAAATTTTAAAGAATTTTTCAATTTATTTTAAATTAACTCATTGTCAAGGACGAAAGAGCAGATTGTATTGCTAATGAGGATGGAGAACGTCAGATACCTACAATGGTAGCGTTTTCTGGAGATGAAGAAGTAAGTTACTAGTTACTCAGGAATATTTAATTAATCAAACCAATACAATTCCTTATAATTTCATTACAAAATCGAATTTGTTCTTGTCAGCTTACAGGAACTCAAGCTAAAGTACAATTATTAAGTAATTCAAAAAACACCATTACACAATTTCGCAATTTTATTGGGAAGAGGTGTGTTTATTTAAAAATATATTATTTATTTTTTTTAAAAAAGTCAATTCATAAAACTTTCTCTTTTTTTACACAAGTTATGAGGAGTGTAAATCTATAGTAAGTACGGGTTCGGCGCAACTAGTTGATAAAGATGGACAAGCAGCATATAAAGTAGAATTTAAAGAAGAAGAAACGATAGTAACAGCACAAGAAGCGTGCACAAAGTTTATCGCGAGTTTAAGAGAAAGTGCGGAAAATTTTTTAGGTCAATCAGTTACAGGAGTCGTGCTTGCAATTCCAACTTATTTTGATGATGAACAAAAAAATTCATTAAGAATTGCAACAGAAAAGGCTGGGTTAAGAGTATTGCAATTAATTAATGAACCAAGTGCGGCTGCATTAGCATATGAAATAGGGAATGTTATAATTAGTGGACAAAATCCATCTACTACGAATAAATATAATGATAGAATTGATGTTATCGTGGATTTAGGTTCCGATAGTTTAGATGTTTCAGTAATGTCAGTAAGATCAGGAATGTATACTATATTGGGAACAACCCATGATCCTGATCTTGGTGGTGCTGCTTTTGATGAGTTATTGGCAAAGCATTTTGCTAATGAATTTAAAAGAAAAACCAAAATTGATATTATGGATAATAAAAGGGCATTAGTTAAGCTGAGAAATTCTGTCGAAATAACAAAGAAGACCTTATCTTCTAGTTCAACATCTACTTGTTCTGTCGAGTCTTTAGCCGAAGGTATTGACTTTCATGGAAATATAAATAGGACAAGATTTGAAATTATGGCAAATAAATTATTTTCCAGAACCTTGGAAATTATTTCTGAAGCATTAAAAAATAATGATTTAGAACCTCAATCGATTGATGAGGTAAGGTTTGACATTCCTCAAGCTTTTTTTTTTTTTTTTAAAAAAAAAAAAACTTTTTTGACTAATTTTACTTCCTTTGGATTTTTTGAAGGTAATTCTTGTTGGAGGCGCTTCACGTATTCCAAAACTTCAATCGAAATTACGTGATATGTTTGCAAACCCCTCTACATTAATTCGTCAAGATTTTGAACCTGACGAAGTTGTAGCATATGGTTGTGCGTTCCAGGGTTCATTAATTTCAACCTTTGCAGATCAATTAATTAATGATAGTCTTGACACTTCAATCACTCTAATACCACATTTATTAAAATCCATTGGGATTTTAAATGCTAAAAAAGAATTTATAACATTGATACCAGAAAATACTCCTTTACCGGTTCGTCGTAATTTTACCTTTTCAAATTATTTAGAGAATCAAAAAGAAATATATATTGCAATTTGGGAAGGTGTACATCAACATCAGGAGGAAGAAAAGAAAGATGAGGGAGAAAATAAGAATGAAAATGAAAATGAAAATGAGGTGAAAAAAGGTGAAACGAAAATAACATATCCTATAAATGTGCCAGATAAATTATTGGTCGAAATGGTTTTAAAAGATTTGCCAGAAAAAAAAGCTAATGAATTAAAAATTTTTATTACTATTGAGGTGGACATGGATAGTAAATGTTTTATCACCGCAAAGGAACTCATTTCTGATAAAAAATTAGAAATTGAAATCGATGGAAAATCAAAATAAAGAAAATGATTTTTTTTTCCTTCAAAAAAGAAAGAAATAGAGAAACAAACCTTCGAATGAATAATTTATTAAGAATTCCTGGCTGGATAATAATTTTTTTTTGATCGGATTTTTTAATTCTCGGAATGTAATAAAGTTAAATAGTGAAAATTTTACGCAAGTTTTTTATTATATTTATCTTGATTTGTTAAATCAATTTTCAACAACATTATTTCTTAAATCTTCAACAACCAATTCAGAAAAAGGATCTCCGGCATCTACGTCCAAAATTCTTCCTTTTTCTTCATCATTTTTATATAATGGTATAACTAATTTCTGAGCATGTAACATCATACGCCAAGTGTCGGTATAATTCATAATTTGTCTCTCATAATGCCAATCACCAACAATAGGATGATTTAAAAATTGACAATGTAATCTTAATTGGTGTCTTCTACCTGTAATAGGATGAAGACTAACTAACGTTACTAGTATATTTTTGGTTGAAGGTGATTGTGGTGGTGTTGTTGATGGAGATGATGGTAACGAGCAATTTTGTTTATCATGAAAATATCCTCGACGGAGAACTTTGATTTCTGTTTTTGCAGACTTTTAATGCGAAATTCATTAGAATATGAGATGATCTTATTTTAAAAAAAACAGAAAGTAATTTTGATAAAACACCTTTCCTGGATTACCATCTGTACCTATACTCATTCGATATCTATTATTTGGTACTTCTGCAATAGGTTGTTCAACTACATAACTTTATAATACATATATATTTTTTAACGCGAGTTCCTCCCGAAAAAAAATTAAGAACTCACCTATCATTTTTTAACCAGCCTCTAACAATGGCCAAATAATATTTATCAACTTTACGTTTAGCAAAAGCAACACTCGCTATTCCGGCAGATTTTTTTGTTAATGCCAAACAGTAACAACCTGACGTTGCATGATCAAGTTGATGTACATTTCTTAATGGTTTTGGTAAATTTGGAATTTGATTATAAAGAAGTGATAAAACTATTAAGAAAATATAAATTTAATTTAGAAAAAATATATATATATTTATTCATAATATACGTATACAATTTTTTTGATATGATGTTAATTACCTGTATGTCCTTTCGATGTATCACCATCTATTCTAACATCATAGCTAAGAAGGAATATTTATATTAATTTAATCGATTTAAAATCAGATAATCTTCTTAAATATTACTTACGGTTTATCGATAACCAAGAATTCATCATTTTGTAATAATATTTTGATTTTTGGCATAATTTCACTAACATCATTATTAAATCTTTGAGATTGTTCTCGTTTATCCATTTGCGAGAATTACAAGTCATTCATCAAACAGGTAAAATGATCATCTATTTATAAATTTAATTATTTAAGTAAATCTATGATATAATTTTAACTTTAGGGATAGATAATGTAATAATAATAATTTCTATAGGTGCCACATCGTAAAAAAAATAATTCCAATAGTTAAATTTAATTGAAAAAATAGTTAAACAGCTTTAAACAAATTATTTTCTTTTTAGAAAATATCTTTTAATAGATTTTTAGAATGTTTTCTTATAAAAATATCTTAGAATAATGTTTTTAAACAAAATATTTTTAAAACTCAAATTCGTTTAATTAATACAGATAAATTAATATTTGAATTGACCTTAAAATTATATTTATTTTAAAAGTTTAGATATATATAATAAGATTACTTTTCTAAATAAAAAAATAATAAGTTTTAAGTCTTATAAAAAATGAATCAGGATCATATTATCAACAGACAAATTACTAATAACTATTTATCACTTGTTATATATTACTATTATATGATTAAATAATTAATAAATGCATATAAGGTATCATAAAAAATTTTCAATCCATTTAGTTATATTATCACTTATCTTAAATTTTTAACTATATTTATTATACTGAATTTGTTTGGATTGAAAAATATTAATTTGTTACTTTATATAATTTTTAATTAATTATTCTTTATTTAGCTTTAGTATTTTAAATATTATATAAAACATATTTTCACACTAATCAATCAGATACCATTCTAATTTGTCACTTTTTTGATTAACAATTAATAGATAAAAATAAGTAAATACTTTAATTAAATATACTATAATTTATTATTATTTGATTGATAATTAATACTAATATGATTTAATTAATAATTAGTTATTGATTAATTTAAAATCTAATTACATTCATTTATTATAAAATTATATCTTACTAATAAATGATTGATTTATTATAAATTAATGCTTTAAATATTTAAGGTATTTGTTTATTACTTTTTTGCAAAATGACTTAAAAGAAATAACTCTTCTATAGTTAAAAGTATAAGAATTTCAGATTCAATTTTAGAATTAATTTCAAATAATATTTTTTATATTAGTTATTTATTAATAATAATAGAGGTAAATTATATAAAGTAGCTAATTAAATTTATGCTTTTTTAATAAATTCAGCATCATTAAAAAGTTTATTTTTTTCAATAAAAAATATTCAAACATCTATTAGAAATAAATTATATGTATTGTTAACGTCAGAAATCAACTTTATTACACTGATCATCAGTGACTAATGAAATGACAATGTAATAAGTCTGATGAATACTGTACCAAATAATCTGCAAAATCTATAGAATTCTTAGGATTTTTAGAATTTAATAGATTTACATGATTGTCATTATTGGATCTTCCTAATTCCTTGTATTTTCATTATTTTAATTATTATTGTTATTTTTATTTTTTTTATTATAATTATTATCTTTGTTATTATTATAATTATCATTATATTAGCACTTGTAACTACAAATTTAGTTAGTTTATAGTGTAGTAACTAGTTAGTTATAGCAAATTAATTTTGTATAAATAGAATAGCTTTTTGCTCAAATTGTAAATAAACTTTATTGTAAGTTTTAGTTTTATTACAAATTCAAGTAATAAATAAAGGAATCAACTTTGAAAAACTATTACTTTTCCCTTCTACATATTCATTATCTAGGATTTGATCATGAACTACTACACTAACTTGCAATTAAGTTCATCACTTAGAATATATAAATTCTCTACGTTTTTCCTTAAATCCCTAAATCTTTAAGTTCGTAAAATTAAATAAAATAATTCCAAGGTATTCTAGATACCTGAAGGATGTGAGATTCTCTAAGGTTGTAAAGTCTGATGATAAGGAATTTACTTGCTGCAGTAAAGTAACTTAACGAAATATGTGCGATATAAAGAGAATTATTTCCAGTAACGGTATGTATTATAATTATAATTATTTTATTTTATATTTATATTAACTAATTATTAATTTATTAAATTTATTAAGTATGATAAAGTATTAAAAATAACTTAAATATATAAAAAAATTATTAAATAAAAAATGAAAAATCAAATATAAATATAACAAAAGAAATTCAAATAAATCAAATAGAAGATAAATAAGATATAAAAATTAAAGAATTAAATTTTAATAAATTTAATTTTATAAGTAAAAGTATTAATGATTAAAAATAATTATTGAAAATGGTTAATAATAAAAATAAAGCATTAATTAAAAGATAATTAAAGAAGAATTAGATGGATTTAATTTAAATTATTTTCTACTCTTAATAGTATATATCCTACTAATAATATTAGGATAAAATAAAAATTAAATGAATTATTTCTTTTAGAAATATATTATCTAATAATTAAATATTATACTATTTTGTCATAATTATTAACATGAAATATATTATAAATAGTAATATTAAATTTTCTATGAATATAAAATTTTTAAAAAGATAATACAAAAAATAATCATGATGATAAATCTGAATTAATAATAAAAATTGACTTAAGTTGCTTATTTATACTCATTTTGGATTTAGTTAAATATTTAAACTTTTAGTTTTATTAATTTTTTACTAAGATTTTAATATAATTTCACTATTTTTATAAACTTTGATATAGTTTTATCTTTTTCTGAATATTACAGATTTTTTAATAAGATTTTAATATAATTTAATCAGGTTTACCTGGTTCATTAAATGTTTAGCTAAATCTTAGTTTTTAATTAGCAACCTTATTTAAAACAAAATGTATCAAAGGTAAGAAATAATAAAAAATTGGTGAAATTAAATTTATTAAAAATATGAAATCAATATTAAGTTTTTTAATATAAGAGAAAAAAGGAAAAATATTGTCAATTTATAATTGGAAATTATTTAGAATAAATATAAAGTTTAAGAATCTTAATATAGGTTAAAAAGGAGGTTCTGAAACAAAAATCCAATTAATACTCAGAAAGATTTCTATTCGCCTCTGAATCAATTTTAGCTATATGAATCAAAATATCAAATTCAATCATCTAACGTGTTTTGACTCAATTCTAGATGATAATATTGAACTTGGCTTGGAATTAACCTTTAGATATCAAGAATTATACTGTTTGATATAGCCATTCTAGCCTGATTTTAATCCCAAATAATATATCAAAAAATTTTTACTATTCTGTTTGCCTTAAAAGAGGTCATCGAAAATCAAGGAACAAAGTGACGTGATTTGAGCTAGGCCTGACATTGCAAACCCAATATGAATAATAACTTTTATGCTATTCTGCTTATCTATAGAGAAACTATCGAAAATTAAGAAACAAAGTAATGTGATTTGAGCTGGACCTGACCATACAAGCCTAAAATACATACTATATTTTAAGTTTCACCTCTAAATCACACCTCTAAGGTATATATACACTAAGTCACACCTCTAAATGCAGAAAAAAATCAGAATAAAAAGCTGAAAGAAGCCTAAAATACATATCATATTCTAAATCTCACTTCAAGTCTCACCTCTAAATGCAGAAAAAATCAGAATGAAAAGCTGAATGAAGCCTAAAATGCATACCTCTAAGTTACACCTTTTATCAAATTTTGCCTCTAAGTGTGAAAAAAATCAGAATGAAAAGCTGAAAGAAGCCTAAACTGCATACCATATTCTAAGTCACACCTTTTATCAAGTCTAATCTCTGAGTCTTATCCCACAATTTATTATAATATTGCATTATATAATATCCTCTAATATGTTCAGCACACCATTCACAAACTGTAGCAGTAGGTTTGTCATAATCAGTACAAGGATAGCGCTTTCTAGTCTTTCAATATTACCGATATCCTTCAAATTGAATGCAGGCTTTACCACAAATCTTGCCAGAGTTATGAAGATAGTTGCAAGTATAAGATGCCATCATTTACAATGGGAATGAAAAAATTTAATTAAACAAAATTATCTGCAATATAGAAAAGTAAACAGCAGATATACCTTCTTACACAATGAGTACACAAATTCAATTATCTGAAGTAAAGCCAACTTTTCAGGAAATCGAGAAAGCATTAATAAATGTAGTCAGAGCAGAAATATATTATAGAAAGCCAAAGGATAGCAAATTCATGCAAAACTATAAAGAACAAGTAAAAAAATTACGCCAGGCAGAAGATCCTGATGCATATATCCTAGAAAATGCAAAAAGATTATTTTCAGATAAGGATAAATATCATAGTATTATGGATGACTTTAAATCTTGGTATAGAAAAGATCCAAAAATTCTTAACGCCATCATAGAACTATATAAATTATACTATAAATAGCTAAGGATTATTTTATTACTGATAAACAAGTTGATGAAGAGACAGAAAACTTCCTATCATCACTTTAGAAATTTAATTCGTAAACACCCACTGGGGAGACAAATTCTGTATCATAAGAAATAATCATCAATTTTTCTCGAACAAAAGATCTTTTAGGATGTTTGAGAATATAATCATCATTATCAATTAACCCAAAGGGGACTTCTTCCAGCCAGTATAAGACTGGCTGATTTTTTTGTACCATAGATTGATGGATATGATAAATATGTGAGGACCAATTCAAATTACCAGTATGACGTCTTCTTCCTTCCTGATCACTAGGATATAGTAAATATCTTACAAGCATATCACCAGAAAGCTTCTCTTCATCAAAGCCTACAGGATCATTTCAAGGATAAGAAGACTTAGAGATAATACTTTTTCTTTTTATTGCTTTAGTAGGTGAAATACCAAGATAGCGTGTAATAGAATTATTAATATCTTTTACTATTGTAACAACAACATTTGGTAAATCTTTTATTAGAGTCTCTAAGCTTTCATATTGGATTGAATCAAGAGGACAAGGAAAAGTAATCAATAAATCTTTTCCATCAAGAATATGATAAAATATCTCAATAAATGTTCTATTATATCTTTCAATAATACCTATAGTATTTTTAGACTTGACTTTTTGAAT